AATAGTCACACCAATATTTGTATGTAAATTTATGAATTATTGAAAGGAAAATATTATATGCCCAGTTTGCCATTTTATTTTCAAAGATGCTTTTTTTGCTGTTTGAGGTAAATACTATAAGCGCAGGCAAGCGGGCGGACCGAGACACGAAGGGACCTCTGAGTGCCACCTCTCTCCACTGCCATGGCAGGGCGTGGACGGCAGGGGGCAGCAGAGGCCACAGTTGCAAACATTGCTCAGGACAGAGAGGGAGGAAACCCGTTCTCCAAGCCCCGCGAGCTTGACAACCCGGTTCACGACCCGGCTGTAATGCAGCACTGACCCAGCCAGCAGAGTGCCCCGCTGGGCGTCTACAGTCCTTTTGAGACCTGGGAGGTGTCACCAGCCTATGACCCTCCCGCCACCACCCCATCGTCTCCACTCTCAGCTCCCTCCTCGCAGCCCTGGAGAAAGCCCAGCCCCACAAACCGAAGAACCGGGCTCCCACAGCGCTCAGGCCTCGCTGCAGCAGCCAACGCTGAGCTGCTGGAGAGTCGGGAGGAGCTCGCCTGGAAGGCAGGAGTGAGATCGCAGAGAGGGGCGCGGCAGCGTGCTGCCCTGGGGCACCACTGCTTGACAGAACAGTGGGCCCCTCTGCCTTCTTTTTGCTCGGGTCAGCCTGCTTTTTCCAGGACATCTCCGCGGAGATCCCCCAAGAATTTCAGAAGACCCTATCGCGTTGTTCCAGCTCTGGATGTGCAGGACTCTGGCTCTTCTGAACTGCCTCGCCTGCCCGGCCAGCTCCTGTGTGCAGGCGGGCACCGGCTCTGGCTTTGGGCTTTCTCTCCTCTGGCTGCTCCCTTTCCCTCTCTGCTCCTTCATCTGCTGGTACCGCCCCACGAATAAGGCTTTCCGGAGTGACTGTTCATTCAATTTCTTCGTTTTCTCCTTCCTTTTCTTCCTCCAGGGTGCGCTCTTTGTCCTGCCACCCCACGTTGGGGATTCACCGACGGATCTCCACTGGGCCCGCACGGCACAGCTGCGCACGTGCTGCGGGCTGCGCTCCTCTTCGCTGGCTTCGCTGTGCTGGGAATCGTGAAGCTAAAGCGGATCCAGCCCTTGCAACGCCACACAGGCGCCAGCTTTCGGAAGGCCCAGCAAGGCTTTGCAGCTGGCATCTTCAACCCTGCGGTGCGAATCACAGCTGCCACTGCAGCGCTGGCTGCTGAAAACACCTTCCGGCCCCCTGGTCCCTGACTGCTTGGGGGAGCTGACTTAGCGCCCATCCCTGAAGGTTTAGTGTTGACAAAGATGCACGAAAAAGGGCACACTCTTGCATTGTTGCTGGGAGTGTAAATTGGTACAGTCATTATGGAAAACAGTATGGAGGTTCCTCAAAAAACTAAATCAGAACTACCATATGATCCAGTAATCCCACTTCCGGATATATATTCAAAGGAATTGAGATCAACATGTTGATGGAATACCTCCATTCCTATATTTTTTGCAGCATTATTCACAATAACCAAGATACGGAATCAACCTAAGTGTCCATCAAATGATGAATGGATTAAAAAAAGTGGTATATAGGCCGGGCGCGGTGGCTCACGCCTGTAATCCTAGCACTCTGGGAGGCCGAGGCGGGTGGATCGCTCAAGGTCAGGAGTTCAAGACCAGCCTGAGCAAGAGCGAGACCCCATCTCTACTAAAAATAGAAAGAAATTATTTGGACAACTAAAAATCTATATAGAAAAAATTAGCCGGACATGGTGGCGCATGTCTGTAGTCCCAGCTACTCGGGAGGCTGAGGCAGGAGGATCGCTTGAGCCCAGGAGTTTGAGCTAGGCTGACACCACAGCACTCTACTCCGGGCAACAGAGTGAGACTCTGTCTCAAAAAAAAAAAGTGGTATATATACACAATGGAATACTATTCAGCCTTAAAAAGAGCGACAACATGGATGAATCTGGAGGACATTATGCATGAATCTGGAGGACATTATGCTAACTGAAATAAGCCGGGCACAGAAAAACAAATACCTCATGCTCTCACTTATATGTGGAATCTAATAAAGTTGAATCCATTGAAGTAGAGGGTAGAATGATGGTTATTAGAGGCTGGGTGGATGGATGGGGAAGGACTGGAGAGTTATTGATCAAAGGACACAAAGGATACAAAGTTTTAGCTAGCAGGAATAGATTTTGAGGGTGACTAGAGTCAATAATAATGTATATTTCAAAATAGAGTAAATTTCAAATGTCTCACCATAAGAAATGATAGCTAATTTTAAGTGAAGGATGTTAATTAGCTTGATTT